AGCTTCCATGGTGGTGGGTAGAGGTGGCAGCGGTGTCCCCTCCGAGGTCGCAGGCCCTCTGCGAGGACGCCTTTATAGCCCTGCCCAGACTGGTGACTCACGGATTCTTCAGGGCAGGGACAGGGGAGTGAGGGGCCGGGGGTGCAGGGGACAGCGGTCCCCCGGGTGTGAAATTTGTCCCAGTTGTGTAAACAGAGGGTCAGGGGGAGGCTGGGAGCAGGGTGCTGTGATCTCCGGTGGAAAAGCAAAACACAGAAGGGAAAAGTTAGACACCATTTGTGAGAAAATCCCCGGGGGGTCAAAGGGGCAAGGGAGGGCAGAGGCAATTAACAAGGATGATTAAGTGCTGTTTGTAGCCATTTGCATAAGGCAGGGGGGACTTGGGGAGGGATTGGGAGTGCTGGGGCAGCATGATGGGCATGCGATGGGCATGCAATGGGGACAGTGTGATGGGTATGAAATGGGAACAGTGTGATAGGTATGAAATGGGAACAGCGTGATGGGCATACATTGGGACAATGTGACGGGCACGCAATGGGACAGTGTGATGGGCAAGCAATGGGACAGTGTGATGGGCATGCAATGGTGGCAAGCACAGAGCAACTAGGAGGTGGCTGAAGGGACGCAGAAGAGAACAGGGAGGGAAGATGGACCTGCAGGAGATGCACCTCAGCCGTAAGGCAGGGCAATAGCCATGCTCAGAGGTTCACAGACCCTGTTGGGCTCACCCAAGGGAATGCCAGGCCCTGTCCCTGCACTGTCAGAGCAGCAGGAGAGCAAGGGCTGATCCCTCACCCCAGGGCCAGGAGCAGGGCTGGCCCCAGTGCGAGCCAGATGAGGGTGCAGGGTGGCTGTTTGAGATGCAGAACAGGACAGGAGGAGTGAGCAGAGCCCTGGGGACCAGGGCCTCCCCTCCAGCTATCTGCTCTGGGTGCTTGCACCTGTGTCATAGGTTGCTCCAGGAACAGCCTCTGGGGACCAACTGCCTCCCCAGTTTCTCCCCTCCGGCAGGAGAGGCCTCAGCCTGCACAGCCCACAGCAGTGCTGCGGCACAACAGTTCCACTTTAGGGCTGGAGCAAAGGAACAGTGGGATTCTCTTTGCTGAATCAATGCAAAAACCCCACACAGAGCTGGCTTGACCAGAGACCAGTTAGGACATTCTCCGTTACTGAGTGTCACCTTGCCCGAAGTGGCAGGAGCTGGAGGCCCCAGGCACATTGCATCCTCCCGCACTAGATCCAGACTGGCATCGCCTTGGACAGTCCCACGCACCACTGAGCCACAGCACGGCACACGCTCGCCATCCTGCAACCCACCGTATCGTTCCCTCTTTGATCCTTTGCTGGGTTCACCAACGCTAAATGCATCCGCAGAGCGCCTCGAGCCCCTGGGCAGGCCGGCAGCCTCGCCAGTGCATGGAGATGGAGACGGCAGGCACGCCGGGTGCTGAGCACCGGGACAGTCAGTCCCTGCCTTGGAGCACGGCAAAGCTCAACCGTGGGTGTCCCTAAATGTTCAGCACCCACCTACTGGCTGAGAGAGCTCGGGAAGCGCTGAGTGCCTGCCCTCGCCTGGGAGGGCAGAGCTGTGCGCTCCCGGCAGGGCCACCCGGCCGGGAGAAGACACCATCACGGCCCCTCTCCCACTACATGCTTTTTTCATCAGAAAATGTCCCAGCCCAAACTTTGCAAGGCAACATTCCCACTGCAGGCAAGAGGAGAGGGTTTCCTCGTGGATACAAAGAGCAGGAGCATAGTGAGCCCTGCTCGCATGTGACGTGGGTGCGAGGACCTTCGGCCCCTCCCGAGACCCTCCCGACCGTGTAGAAATGGTTCAATATTTACTGCAGCAGAGACGGGACATTCGGCCCCCGCGGTCCGTGCTAGGCCCTGAACGGTGGGCCGTGACCCCAGCTCCGGGCGGGCAGCTCTTCCCTCTCGCCCCCGCAGCGAACGGCCGCGGCCGGG